GCATTCTATAGGAGAGTTAAAGAAAGATAGGGATAAGATTAATCTGTAATTTGAAGGTTGTTGAAGCTATAGAGAGCTCATAAAATTGCCATAAGTAAGGGTGTAGACATTAAGAGCTGTAAAATTCCAGTGTCAAGAGCAAGGGCATGAAAAGGAAAAAAAAAATGTAGGGAAAGGGAATATTGGAATTGTTGAAAAGTCAGAAATCCAAGGGATGGGGCTCAAGAAGGATATTGATAGTGTAAAATGCTGCAGAATATCAAAGGATAAGGATTTAAAAAACAATGTCAGAATTGGCATTTAGGAGGTCAACGATCACCTCTGGTAGATCATTTTCAGCTAAGTGTTAAGCAGAAATCAAATTGCCAATAAGACCCAGAAGAGTAGCAGTAATAAAGAAGGGAAACAGTTTTAGATTTTTTTTAAAATAAAAGTTTAAGAAAAGACAGTAACTTCAGGGCAAAACAATCTCAAACCTGTATCAGAAGTATCAGTTCTTGTTTTAAACCACAGATTTCTGGACCTCACTCCCAGAATTTCTGATTCAGTAGGTCTTGGGGTAGGGCCAAAGAGTTTTTGTGTATATCAAGTACTCAGATATGTTACTGTGGGTAGTTCAGGGACCACAGTGTGAGAATGACTTGTGACGATTGAGGAGAGCTTTTATTTATTTGTTTTGATTCATACCCTTGAACATTTTCTATAATGTTCAAGGATATGAACATAATGTGTCTAAAAGGGAAAGTGCAAGGAGAGATGGGGAGAAAGGAGATGCAAAAGAGAGGAGTGAGAATAAAACTAATAAGAGTCATGAACTGAAGGAGATAAAGGAATCAATTATGTAAATAAAGGCAGTGGAGGAAACTTCTTATTTTCTGAGGGATGAGGAAAGTAGGAGAGCAAAAGAGAGAAGACAAAAAGGACGTCTTAGGAGGAAAGAAGGGAGGTTGGGAGAACTTCTATGGAATCACTTTGTGGTAAAATCATTGAGAAGTGGGAGGCAACAGCTGATGAGAGTTAAGGGGAGGGTAGCTTGGAAAAAGTAGAAAAGAGTCCGGATGTCAGCTACTGGGAATTCAAAAGGAAGTCAACAAAATGAATAAAAGGCTACCTACTAGCAGTGGGAATCCAGCTGAAGTAGAATAGCTTGAATTTGAATAGCCTAAGATTTGAAAGGGAACAATAAGTTGAGACACAGAACTTAAAGAGGACCTATCTCCTCCCCCTGGGACAGTGCAGTATGGGAGTATCTTATGTTAAAAGTAGGTAAGTACTTAGACTTTCTGAGAATTTTGAGAATTATTATTTTATTTCAGCTAGAAAATGTTCATTTTTTTTCCTTTAAGCATCTGATTTTGTTTTACTTCTCAGGTTTTGACCAATTCTCCTCTTGTTCAAGTGATTTCCCACCTTTGCCTCCCATGTAACTCATCTTGAATTTAACATTGCAAGTGAAAGAGAGAAAGATACATTGTAGGGCTGGGGTTGTGGCTCAGTGATAGAGTGTTTGCCTAGCATGCATGAGGCCCTGGGTTTGATCCTCAGCAACACAAAAACATAAAATAAATAAAACACATTTCAGATGATCATTTCAAAGCCAGTTTCCTAGGAAAACATATAGGATACATGAATAGGATACATGTAGGTTTTAGCCAATTAAGTCCTCAGTTATATGAATGTTTTTGTTTCACATTTATTGCCTTGCCTAATCAATTTCCTTTGATTGTTTGCCTAAAAATGAATTTTAGAGGGCTCTTGGGAAGTTCCCATTAGAGGCCATAGTAGGGGTCATAACTTCAGATGGTTGAGTGTTTCAAATAATTCCATTTATTACCTTGGGATTTGCTTGAATGCCTGTTCTGAAAACCATCCCCTGCAAACATTTTGGATATTTTGCAGTCCTGCATAAGTTTGCATATATATATATATTTAAATATATATTATTAAATATATATTTAATGAAAATGGTATATTCATTTCACTGACAGTGTGAAATGAAGTAGAATGTTTGGCCTAAATTCACAGATGAGCATGCTTCCTTCCAAACTGAGCATAAATTAGGAAAAAATGTAAATTTCTAATTAAGGCTAAGAATTTTATAGCATTTCAGTGTATGAGAAGCTACACTTAGGCCTCAAATCATACCATTGGAATTAGGCATCTAGAGGCATCTAGAACTTCTTGTTCTGATGAGATATGGTATCTGCTTGTACCAATTTTATTCATAATTTCTGTGGTGTTTGGCTCCTCTCTGGTATTAATTCACAAATCTTGAATATTTTCTTAGTTTTAATGCAGGGTCTCTCATCTCCCAAGGGTACCCTGTTTACTGCAGCCTTTGTGATTTTATATTGCTTCATATAATTCCAAACTTACAGGGTGTTGACATGCAAGGCTTCCTCTAGCCTTGTAGAAATCTAGCCTTATTTAGAAATATATTTGGCTTAGGGAAGACATTAAAGTCAGAAAGGGATAGAAACAAACACTCTGTGTGCAATTTGTCTCAGTCTCAAAGCATATATAATAATAATAGAAATAGCAGCAATAAAACTGAGTAATCAAAAGATCAAGAAAACCTAAGGACACAACACCTGGAGTCTTGGATCTAGATGACTAAATCTTTAAATTACAAGTATCACTTAAGAAAATTACTAAGTCTACTTTCTAGGGGACTGCAATGGAAAGGAATTCAAATAATGAAACCATGGGTCTTTTGTGTATTGAAAGCTTCTAAGAGACTTTAACACTTCAGTGATCACTGGCCAATTTGAATCCCTAGTATTTCTACTAGAATTTGAACCTTAATCTCTGGTAGTAATTAAAATTTAATTCTTACCTTTTCTAAAGTTATCAAAGTTATCCAAAGTTATCAAAGTATGTTTGTTTTTCAGTATCACAATGATTAGAGTCTAAGCGAATGTTCAACTTTTCACTTTTTATATTGCAGAATTTCTTAAATATAAAACATCTATGTAGTGTCACATTTCTGAAAACTCCAAATCATTCTCTGAATGAAAAGGCCTTTATAATGTAGGATTTTTAATGGAATTAGAGCTATTTCAAACAAAACTTTCCTTAACATCAAATCTGTTCACTGGAAATTTTAATCATAGTAAGTTAACATAGACAAGTTATCTTGACACATTTTAATAGCTATTTCTGTCAAAACCCCTGTTGAACAATTTTTTTTTATTTAAAAATACTTGTAAATACAAACATTTCTGTCATTGCAGTTCTATTTTTGTGAGAAGCAGTACTTTTCTGCTTCTGCTCTCTTCAGAATTGTTCATTTTGCCTTTATTTTCTTCCCACAATTGTACCAGTAAAGCCAAAACAATTTGATATCTTTCAAAAATGTTTTGTGGATGCAGAAGTTCCAATCTATTAGAGATTCTTATTGCTGTATTCCAAAAGCAACTGCCATCACAACTTCTTAGCATTTTGTCCTCATGCAATTTAAAATTAAAGCAGTATGAAGAGATTCAAAGGGCAGTTCTTTTTTTAAAGGTTTAATTTTTTAAACCTTTATTTATTTATTTATTTTTATGTGGTGCTGAGTATTGAACCCAGTGCCTCACACATGCTAGGCAAGCAGATCTACTACTGTTCCATAACCCCAGGCCCCAAAGGGCAGTTCTTAGGTTTGGTTGATGAAATGACAAAAGAAGAAAAATATGTTGTAGAAAGAGGCAGAGAAATCTAATTTAGGACATTTACTACTTATTAAGGGACTAAAAAGAACTCACTCCCCATCTTTGACATTGCTAAGTTCAACTCCGAAGGAATATCAGAGTTGTTGTATGAACTATGTAGCTGGTAACATTTTGTAAAAAATTTAAGCCTGGATTTCACTGTCTTGAATAACTACTAACCACTAGAGGAGAGAAGCACAGGAAATACCTTTCTGTCAAAGTATCAAAACCTTGACAAGGAGTCTTAAAACAACTTTTATATGGTGAGCTAACCACTATATGCTGTGTGGAAAAGAATATGCCTTTCTCTTGGAATGTTCCCTATTTAGACATTTTGTTGATTATGAGCTCTTGCACTAAGTTTGGGGCATTGGACATGTGGGGGAGGAGGAATGTTGAGCTAGAGGACTGAACCTTCAAAGCTCATACACAAGGGAGGGAAATGCCACATTCAAGAGTACAAACCGTTGCCCTTTTCTCGTAGTCTATAATGGTTGTTTTGAGGCATTAAAGAAGTTTTCTTATAAATTTTACCGGGGGTAGTGAAGAGCAATCCTGAGAATAAGGGATGCGGACATAGAAAGCCTAGTCTGTTCCAGGACTGTGGCGGAAGTGCTGTAAAATGAGGTGTCCATCTGCCACCCACAGACTAAGTCGGCTTCCTAAAGTGTTCGTGGGCTCACTGCGCTTCCTGATTATCAGTGTGTATGAGCTAGATAGCGACCCAGCAACTCTGATATGAGTGCGATCCGGAGGCCGGTTCTCTGTGCGCTGGGTAAGGCATAATTTACACCCAGCGGACTAGGGGGACTGAAGAATGGCTGAGTTGTTTACTTCGGAACTCACCGGAGTCTTTCTCTAGGAAAATGGGCGAAGCAACCTATTAGCGCTCACAGAATTTGGGAGCAATATCTAAGTGGAATTGTCGCTGCCATCTCACTTTCCTTGAACGAAACCGGGTGCGAGGTGGCAGGAAGGTGATTAGAAGAAGGCTTCAGGAGTCCCGCTTTGTGTTTCCTACCCTATGCTCCTGGGGCGCAGAGAAGATGGGTACGTTGCGTACTACAGTTTCAGATCTCTGCCTGATAATTGGACGTTCTCTTGTTAGATTTCCAGGCAAGAAGCCGAAGAAGCACCACACCGCCCCCTTTTCGGGCTGCTTCTCTAATCACCCGCGAGCCCAGAACCGCCTCAGGTAGTGTGAGGCCGGCCAGGGAGTCTCCACCTCCACGCTAGCAGCAGCCATTCGATGCGCTCAGGCGCCGAGGGGGTGGGGCCCATTGGCTGGGGGGCGGGTGGGGTCTCGGACCGCCGCGGGTCCAACTGCTCACTGTTTGCTGGGTAGTGGGTGAGTTTGAGCGTGAGCGGGGCTGCTGGAGACTTGAGAACAGTTCAGAACGAGCAAGCTCACGCCAGAGAGGGAGAGAAAGAGAGAGAGGGAGTGAGAGAACGGGCGAGCAAGAGTGAGGGAGTGCGAGGGGACCTAGAGGAGTCAGGGAGAGAAAGCGAGGGCCAGAGGAACCACGATAAAAACGGAGTGAGCATGTCTGTCTCCGCACCTCCCGTGATCTCTGCAACTTCCAGTGGTACCGGCGTCCCGGGAGCTTTATTTCGGGCCGAACCCCTATACTCCACTCCGGGAGAGCCCCCTCGTCTCACCCCTAATATGATCAACAGTTTTATGGCCAATAACCACAGCGGCAGCGCCGGGAGTGGCGGGGTCGGTAGTGGCAGCGTTGGCAGCTGCAACACCAACACCAACGAGTGCCGGATGGTCGACATGCACGGGGTGAAGGTAGCTTCATTCCTGATGGATGGCCAGGAACTGATCTGCCTGCCGCAAGTCTTTGATCTTTTCCTCAAGCACCTGGTGGGTGGGTTGCACACGGTGTACACCAAGCTGAAGAGATTGGACATATCTCCAGTGGTGTGTACCGTTGAGCAGGTCCGGATCCTCCGCGGGCTGGGGGCCATCCAGCCTGGGGTGAACCGCTGCAAACTCATCACCAGGAAAGACTTCGAAACTTTGTTCACTGATTGCACCAATGCCAGGTGAGACACCCATTTGTTGACTCACACGCTGCTCTTGCCCCTTTGCCCTCTTTTGCATGTCTCATCCCCCTCATCCAACTTTGTCTGTAGAGAATGAGTCTTAACCAGCTTGCCTCTTCATACTTTAAATCGGTGGGGAAAGAGGACTAGAAGGACTCATTAATTGCGGGTCCCTTCTAGTCCGTGCTCAGTGGCAGGGCTGGGGTCTAAAAAAAAGTCCCGCACAAACTTCAGTTTGCAGTCCTCTACTGAAACTTTCCAGCCTTTCTCCCATATCTTGCATGGCTTTTTGGCTGCTTGTGTTTATTTGTTAATTTCTCTATTTGGTTTTCTTTCCTACTCTTTTGTGGCCTTACGGGTCGGGTAGTTTTTCTTCTGAACACCGACACCAGGGGCTTTCTCTGGGGGCTGGCTGAGCTGTAAACCAGGCTCCAACGCTGGCAACCCAGAAAATAGCATTTGGGGAATGCAGGGGGCTGGAAGTCTAGAATCCATCCCAGAGGGTGATTCAATCCCCATCCTGTAAGTTTGTTGTGAGAATGTGTGGAATGCATACTGCTGTTTGTTGTTGGTAGTGATTGTGTGTGCGAGCAAGTGTGTGTAAGGACGAGTGCTCATGCCTGCTGCGCAAAGCTCCCTGGTACACGATACAGGAAAGTAGATTAGTCTTGTTTCTTTTTTTTAAAAAAAGACCGCAGATGTCACTTTCCTGGGATCGTCTCTTTTGGGTAATCTACAGAAGGTAATGTGGGGCATGAAACGCTGGGGCTGGGTCTGGGTTGGGGGTTGGTATAGAAGTTGGTAGGTTTTCTAGAGAAGATGCTCTCAGCTCTTCCCCCCCACCAGGCAAACAGTTGGAAGGATCCCATTCCCTCAAAGAGAGGATTCCTTAAATGATGATGGCCAGCTTCCCTGGTTGTAAGTGTGCCTCCTTCATATCACAGTTCAGAAGTACATTGAAGTATAAATGTCCATTTGCACATCAGAAGCAAATTGTGTTCAATGGTTTGAGTAAAAAGGAAAAGAAACTATATTCCAGATTATTTGATTTTTAAAAAAATATCTGTGAATTAGTCTTTATTTAGTTTATTTGATCTCTAATCTGTTAATATCTACAAAAGTATATATTTAGCATTTGAGATTGGCATACAAACTAAGAAATTACCATCACCAGATTTATAGGAGCAAAGGGTTTTGTTGTAAAACGCTACTACTATTCATCATTTTGCAAAGAACTTTGGAGGTACACTGTCTCTGTGCAACTTTATATGATCATATCTCTGGGTCTATGATCTAAAACTATAACTCAGTTACCACATTTAGGGTAAAATGCAAATCACTGTTTAGTTGAAAGTGTACTGACAACTTGTAGACAAACTGTTGCTTATTGTTACAATAAGATAATGCTACAGAACTTAAAATGGAACATTTTCTTTTTTCCTTTAAGAAGTGTTCTTCTGGATTCAAGCAATTGAACAGAAACCTGTTCATGTGAGAACTCCTACCTAATGCATATTTGGGGCTTACAAACCTAGTTCATTAGATCAGCTTTTCTTAAGAAAGATAGATGACCTTAAAACACAAAGGATAAAGGCTTCCTCCAATAAAACAAGCAATTATGGGTTGTAAGAGTAGAAAGAAAATTTTACTTTGACTACAAAGCATTTTACTAATATATGAATTCAAAAGATTACAAGGAACTTCATATAGGGGCCATCTAATTCATATGTTACCTTTCAAAAACACTTATATTTAAATAATTACAGACATGAAAACCTATCCACTTACCTCTCTCTCCCTCACCTCTCTACTTTTCTATCCTTTCCTCTCCTCTCTTCTTATAAACTTCCATTCTTAAAGTGAATAATTATTACATATAGGAAGTTCTTCCTTCCATGATAATTAATTTATTTGTTCTTGAACAAAATCTATGTATTTTAAAAGTAAATAGATTAATATTTTATTGTCATTTTGATGCTTTCCTTTTTAAATAGAAACTTTTCTTTAATTTTTATAGAGCTTCTTGCTGAAAGGGAAAGTGATCAATTTCTATATACTCAGAGACAAGTAGTCTTATTCTATTTTTGTTATAATATACCTTTATTATTTTTTAATCCAATTAAGTTTTATTTGCTTCTTATCATAGCATTTGAGTTTCTAACTTTTTTAGCTTGAATTGCTTTTGTGTATGTATCTGTCTAAAGGTGAGAGAGACATATTAAATACAGAGAAAGAAAAATATTTGTGATAGGATGAATTTGCTTTCTATTGCATTTTCTTTTCTTTATAGGTCTTTTATTTATTAGATTTATTTTCTATAACTGTGTTACAAGCATTGCAATATAGAATTGTTAAAAATTGTGAAATATATTCTATGTATGCAATTAATAAATGAAGATGAGGAAAATTACTAGAAACACACCTACATTGCAATTTTTAGGTAGGGAAAAACCCAATTTCTAGAAAAATCTAATAGTAAAATAACATTACCAAGTTTTGTTGTGCAAATACCCTCATAATCAATCATGTTGTTAAAAACTACTAGATATAATGATGGTTATGAAAGATGCTTTTTGAATTTTGGTAACATTTACAGACTATGTACTTTAAATTATTCATAAATCAGAATTTAAAAATTAAATTTGAAATTAATATTTAGATCAACATTATTTCTATGATTTTTAAATTCAGTGAAAAATGAGGGATCTAAATGAGAAGGAGGTACAAGAGAGACAACATGAGGCAGATAAGACACAAGGCCAGTAAGAGAGAAGAAATGTAGGAAAAGAGCAGAATGATGACATGAGAAGGAGAGAAAGATGGAGAAAATCTTATAGAGTTGTCTAAAGAAAATGAATAATGTGCTAATGGAAACCTGGCTAAAGAGTATTGTCCTTTAGGACTCATGACTTCTTACAGCTTCTAGCTAAAGGTGAAGGGGAGAGCAGTGCCTTGAAAAATTATGTATTAGGTTGAATGGAAACTCTCACATTATATTCTTATTTTAAAAGAAGAGATTCGCTTTCATCTCCAATGTATAAATTTTCATAATATATTACTGAATGGAAGGACTATTTGTATTGGTGTCATTGGAAATTTTCTTTTCCTGCATTATTCCCCATCTGTCAAATGTGTGGGGAAGAGTACATGTCCTGATTTAGTGTATTTTAATTTGGAATGCCTTATGCTATCCCAGGACACATAAAATGGACCATTTTCACATTTGTCCTTTTCAGAGACTTTAACACATTGCCACTAAGTAGCATCTTGATTTGGTTCAGTGCACATTTTATCAATGTGCTCTGAAGATAAATGAATGAATACACATCATTTTTTGATAGTGTGAAAGTCACAACAGCATCTCAAACAGTACCTTATATTAACTTTTTTGTTTTAGTCAATTACTGAAATATTCAAAGTTTTTTTTTTCTAGAAAAGAAGTTGGGAAATAATATCTGCTTCAAAAACTAGGGAATTATAAGACTAAAACTCTTGACCATACATTGTTCTATTAAGTGAAGCTTTACATCACTGGAATTTAAAGGGCTATATGGTATTCTCCCTTCATGATCTTTAACTTCAAAAAAATAATTATAGGGAAATTATTTTGAGAATTATTAAGAAAATGGTGAATTTTCTTAAACCAAATGAAAAATTATTATATATGGTTTTAGATTTTGTTTTTGAAGATAAAGCACTATGGGTTTCTCTTCATTTATTATACAAGAAAACTTGGAGTTTTTCAATACCAGAGAAAAGAGGCAGATTCAGAAAGCAAATGCCTAAAATTCTCACTATTATGCAGTGAATTTTACCACTAAATTGTACTAAGTTTAGTAGCAGTACAATACAAAATTGGTTTCACTAAATTGGGAATCATCCACGACATTTTAGTGTTATTTTTTTAAAATCTACCTATCTATATGAAAGTAACATTGTTGGATTTCATGATTGGCATTTAATTTTGTTTGAGGAGCAACTGATTGAATGTTATTCAGTCACTTAGAGTTAAATGGATGTTTGAAGAAATAAGAATGTATAATTAAGAAGAGACTTTAATAATGTATTTGGGGATATGCTTCAACATATATTTAAATGTATAAAATTCACTTTTTAAAATTAAAATTCAAAATAGTTCAATTATAGTTCATTTTGACAGTGTGTAAACAGAACATAAATGTGGCTTGATATTAGACAAACTTTATGAGAAGAATAACCATGTTTACAATATTTTAAAACTAGTTTCCAATGCTAGAAATATGATTATTGTAAGCAGTCGATGAGTTTGGCTTTGTATTCACACTTGATGAATACTTTGTAGTTCATGATCCATACAGAATAATGTAATTTATTTTGAAAACTGATGTTTGGCATTTACAGTAAAGTTAAGCAACATACAATTATTAAAGAACTTGTATCACTTCCCTGGGCTGATATATATTTTCAGAAATGATAAAAAGGTTCTAGAAATGAATCCAGGCAGTTAATACAGACATTTTATTTCAAAGGATGATGATGAGATAGTCATATTGTCCATTACAAGCAGTCACATAGTCAACAATGCTGTGTCTTTTATAAGAAGAATGGTATCAGGATTACAATTAAAGTACTAGTCATATGCTAATGTACAGAACTTTTGTGTGTATATTCATTTTAAATCTATATTTCTGCATAACCAATAATTTTTGTATTTATGTAAATACTTTAACTTGTATTCATATTTGTCTTAAACACTCATTTATTGGGTGATGGATACTATATTAAAGAAATGATCCATGACATGATAGAGTATATTTTTGAATTTTTATGTACATTACCCTCAATGTCTAGTACATGAACACCAATAAATAATTAGGATGTGATCGTCTTCAGACAATATTGTTTTATGTGGCTTTATACAGGAATTTCTAATATTTGTAGAAGATATCAAACCTGAATTATTTTATACTTTGTTAAGTGACATTATTTTGTCTTAATGAAATACTTAGTTGTTTGTAAAATGCTTCTTGTAGGTAAATATAATTGTGAGATATCCTAGTCACATTATATCTCAGTTGTCAATCTAGATATCTAGTGGCACTTTATCTTGTTCATGTAAAGATACACATGATTTAAATTTATACACTTTACACATTTCAAATATGTATTAAACTACACTAATTGATCCAAAAGTGAAAATATTATGTTTTTAGAGACAAATATCAAATCAACCTTTTCTCCCAAAGCAAAACAATCAGGTATTAATGATATTCATATTGCATATTCAAAAGGTCTTTGGTAACATATTTTCTTCCTTTTTTCCCCTTTCACCATCAAAATCTGCAAAACTCTTCCCTGTCACTTCAGATCACACAATTCTACAAAGACAAAACAACATTTAAACACATTTGGTTTGGAAGGGAAATTGAGCATTTGCACCCAATAAGCCTGATTGTGGAAATGCATGCAAATTGTGTTTTGATTTATCTCTTTTACACTTTTTTCCATTTGAATTGATCTTGCATTAATTTCACCAAGCGGCTCTGTGAGGCTGCAGATGTTGCCCTGTGTTTAATAAATCAATGAGACAGATCTGAATGAATCACTTCAGATGGATTCTCTGCTCGGTTTGATGTCTAGATGTTATTCTTAGCTTGTTATCATGACAGATGCATTAATGTTCCCATACACTGCCAGCAATGTCAAAGAGATTGAAGCTTTTAAAGTGGCGGCATCCTTTTTTCCATTTTCTGCTAGAACAACTAAATTTGTTTTATTTTACTTAGGAATCAGAGAAAAATATCAAAGCAATCTTAAGATATGAATCTTCATGAGAAAGATTCTTAATATTCATGGTATATTATTAACTATACCAAAATGGTGGAAATCAATAAAGTGTAAAAACTAAATATAGTATAGCTATATAATAGTGCCTCCAC